TTTCCCATGATTGTGATTCCTAATGAACCAGACTGAGAGACCATTTAAAGGCTCAGGAACCCTTTGCAGGTGTTATGGCTTAATTAGCTGATTAGAGTGGGACACTTTGAGCCTAGAATATTGCACCTTTTCACAATATTCTAATTTTCTGCGAATGTGGATTTGGGGTTTTCATGAGCTGTAAGCTATAATCATCACAATTATGACAAATCACAGCCTGAACTATCTTGCTTTGCATGTAATGAGTCTATCTCATATATTAGTTTCACCTTTTAAGTTGCATTACTGAAATAAATTAACTTTTGCACAATATTCTAATTTTTTGAGTTACACCTGTATATAGTTCTGTGCCATAAGCTAACCGATGAGGCATTCTAACCAAGACAAGATATTTTTCATCTAATGAAGGTTTGTGAACTAAGGTACAAGCAAACGGCAACTGCCCCAACCTACTGTATACCTGGCCTTTGCAGCAAGGGGCACATGGAAAGGCTATGAATGTCAAACAACAACAAAGAAAGCAAAGAAAGATACCATACACAGATCCCAGTTTTCAAATCCCACCGACATAACATATATTGCCACTGAGCTTGAAATCTCATTAAGAAACAGTTTAAATATGTGTGTGTGTTTGAATTGTCCACTGCATTCTACCTTACACCAATTGGCTCTGAGAATAAAATAAAGGAAATGCTTTTAAACCATACAACATCATCAAAGTAGGATTAATACTGGATAATTAACAGACAAGAGGCCTTAATCTACATGGTCAGGCTGGGAGACAATGCCTGACTATTTACGTTGAAAGCTGGCCCCTCAGCCAATTATCTAAGCTAAATTCACAAAGAGGTCCATTAAAAGTACCACAGATCTCTACTTGCCCTACAGTCTGTAAATTCAGGAATTCTTTTTTGCAGCTTGTGCACACATATACAGTATGTCACATATCCTAATATGGCTGCTGGCAACACAGTGATACAGGAAATAAACAAAGAATGTCATTAGTCTAAGCTTTTTAAATAAAAAAAAGTCTTCAACAGTCATAAAACTAAAATGAAGAAAACATGGCAGCTATTATAATTTGCACCTGTATTCCTATAATTCATAGAATGAATATTTGTAAGATGTCTTCACTGAGAGCCTTAAGGTAGATGGTAATCAATCATCCTAATGTATTTCTAAACTACTAAAGTTTTCATTTTCCATTATTCAATAGTTTTCAATATTCTTTTTAGTCAAACAACACCTTGATACGGTTCAATAAGAAGAATTCTACATAAATCTGACATTTTTGTTTTAGAAGGATGATGATTAGGACATGCTTGAGGGTTTCTATTTTCTATCACCTAATCCAGATAGTGATGAAATCTGACCTGTTTCACTGGTTATGGTACTTTGCATCTCATTAAAGTTCAACCTGTCATATACCTAGGCAGTTCAAAATGAACCTACGATAAAAAAAAAAGTGCATCTGCAGAAGTTACCGTTCAGGACAACAACTCAAAATGATCATCAAATCCAAATATATGCAGCTAATGTTACATGCAAATATCAACTTTCCCTTTATCAAACTTGGCCACACCCCTTCCTCCCTCTTCTGGTCAATATCACCACCCATCATGTTAAAGGATATTTTACATCCAGCATATACATCCCTGTATAATGCTGATATTGGCCCCAACCTGGACCATTCAGATCTTATATTTCTTTTCATCATGAAGAACTCCATTGATGCAAGTATACATATTGGAATTTGCATTCTTTGCACTGGAGTTAAATATTCACTAGAGAATGTAGGGCAGTCAGCTAAATGTTTAACCTGGCTAAAGATTTCGATAGGCACTAGGAGGTTGTTGGATGTGTTAGCATAATCCAGTCACCTTTAGATATCTGAGTCTACGAGTGGGTTCCTAAATATAAACAGTTGCCTTTGCTGACTGTTCTTATTTACCCAGTTGCTGCCCGTCCTATAGCCAGATGGCGGTCGGATGAACGCCGTATGGCATCCTTCCAGGCATGCGCATTGCACCTGCCCGCAGGGCCGTGCAGCGGCGCGATCTGTCATTAGCCGTGTACCTCGGACACGGCTGATGACAGATCTGCATACCAGCCCCGTTGCCAGTACCATGTGACCTGCTGTGACCAATCACAGCAGGTCACATGACAGTTGTATACAATGGATGGCTTCCTTTCATGCCATCCACTGTATACAAGTGTGTCTAGCTGTGAATGGTCACAGTGCTCACATACACAAGCTGGGCAAATCACAGCCCAGCTGTGTCATGTGATTAGCTGTGGCTAAAAACCACAGCTAAGCACAAAAACCCCCCCCTGAATGAATCGATTTCATTCAGGTAAATGCTTGCTTATAGCAAAGAAATTCTTTGCTATAAGCAAATTCTGTAAAAAAACAAAAACAAAATACTGATCACTATAATACTATGGTAACATTATACTACTTTGGTCATAGTGAAATATGAAAAAAAAAATCTTACAAAAAGAGAAAAAATTTAAAAAAAATAATAAAAAAAAAAAAAATTATCAATTTTTTTTTTTGTACTGTCACCAGTCAGTGTCCCCGATCACCACCATGCCAGTTATAGGATGACGCTGTACTGCACTGGTGACAGTATGTAAAAAAAAAAATAGTGAAAATCATGTAATTTTTTTGTCAATTGTTCGGAAATGAAGAAATTAAAACTTCAAAAAACTCGCCATGCCTGTTATGAAATACGTTGGACTGTCTACTTTGCAAAAAGGAGTCATTTGGGGGATATCTGTACTGTTCTGACATTCTTGGACCTCAAGAAATTAGACTGGTCGTCAGTACTTCAGGATTGATCAATTTTCAGATATATCCCATAGTTTGTGAACTCTATAACTTTCCTACAAACTAAATAATACATCCTAATTTGGGTTATTTTCACCAAAGAAATGTAGCAGAATACATCTCGGCCTAAATTTATGAAGAACAATTATTTATTTGCAAACTTTTATAACAGAAACACATTTTTGGTCTTTTTTTTGTTAATTTAGCAAAAATACAAACCCCAGCAGTGATTAAATACCATCAAAAGAAAGCTCTAGTTGTGTGAAGAGAATTATAAAATTTTAATTTGGGTGCAATGTTGTATGACCGCGCAATTGTCATTCAAAGTGCTGAAACCTGAAAATTGGCCTGGGCAGGAAGGGGGTAAAAGTGCCCTGTATGGAAGCAGTTAAAGTGTTACTAAACCCAGGACCCTGCATTCACTATAACTGGAGATGCAATTATTTTAGTAAATATAAACGGCTAAATACCTTTTCTCATCAGCAGTTACAGCAGTCTTGTGACTTCTATCAGTGTCCAGCAGAGCACTGGTAAAAGCTTGTAGGAGGAGTTTTCATTCTCCCCTGATTATCCTGTGAGGCTGCAGGACCCCTGACCCTCTGTCTGGACAGCGCTGTATAGCCCTGTTCTTTCACATGCACCCTCCCAAGAAAAAAAAAAACTCTCTAGCTATACACACCAAATGAGCATGTGCAGCTTGCTCCCAAGGCTCTGTTCTATCAGCAAATGGATCGGGGATAGTGGAAGAAGGGGAGGATCAGAGAAGACAGGATCAAAAATCCTTTTTACACAATGCGGAGGATTAATCCTTAGGTTCCACAGGGAGTATAACAAGCATGATTTGCTGCATATACAGACTGATTGTACTGTTGTGGGTTTAGGAACACTTTAACCTATGGAAGGCACCTGTAAAGATGTCTATACACATTATGAATATTATACATATCAGTGAGATGGACAAACAGCTGCTAGGATATTATAAGGTTGTGTCAATATAAAGAGATGCATATCTGTACATATGCGGTAACATTAGAACCGGTTCTGCTGTATCCTCACAATACAGGAGTTCAGCAATGGAGTCAAATGATCCAGAAAGATTTGACCATACTTATGTATAGTGGAACCTGTTTAAAATGAATTATCCTAATCTCAAGTTTGGTCTTCCTATGGTAGCTTGTTCTTAACATATATGACCATGATTAGAATCGGAAGTAAAAAAACAACACTGACCCATTCTAATGGCTTGGAGCGCTGCTCTAAGCATCAATGTATCCGCTCCAGGTATCCACACTAGTGTGGGTGCTGCCATCTCAAATGCTCATCCAGAAGACATGGTTAACTGTGTCATATAACGATGCTGCACTTCCAACAGCCCAAGATGTGATAAAGGTAAGAAGTAACCTCATATAAAATATGTATGCAGCGCAAATAAAAAATATAAAATCAGGTGAAGAATCAAATAAATCAGAAATTGCACAATATCATACTTCAGCAACTCAGTCCATACATGGTGCTAAAGCAAAGGGATTATGTGCAAGTGTTCATAAATCCGTAATAGAAGGATAACCGTGACTCTTGTACTCTTGAGAGCGTACAAACATTGCACTAACCAGATAGCGCATTAGCTGCGCGTGGAGCAATTAAGACCTGCTCCTGGTGCTCTGGACTTGAAATGCCAGGAAGATGTCATCAGCGTGTAGGCCACTAGATGTCATCAGTCTAGGTCAGTGGTTCTCAACCTTCCTAATGTCGCGACCCCTTAATACAGTTCCTCATGTTGTGGTGACCCCCAACCATAAAATTATTTTCGTTGCTACTTCATAACTGTAATTTTGCAGCGGGAGGAGTAGTGCCACATCATTGGTGTCAGTGGGAGGAATAGTGTCCCATCACTGATGTCAATGGGAGGAATAGTGCCCCATCATTGGTATCAGTGGTAGGAATAGTGCCGTATCATTGGTGTCAGTGGGAGGAATAGTGCCCCATCATTGGTGTCAGTGGGGGGAATAGTGCCCCATCATAGGTGTCAGTGGGAGGAATAGTGCCCCATCATAGGTGTCAGTGGGGGGAATAGTGCCCCATCATAGGTGTCAGTGGGGGGAATAGTGCCCCATCATTGGTGTCAGTGGGGGGAATAGTGCCCCATCATTGGTGTCAGTGGGAGGAATAGTGCCCCAACATTGGTGTCAGGGGGAGGAATAGTGCCCCAACATTGGTGTCAGTGGGGGGAATAGTGCCCCACATTGGTGTCAGTGGGAGGAATAGTGCCCCATCATTGGTGTCAGTGGGAGGTAATAGTGCCCCGTCATTGGTGTCAGTGGGGGAATAGTGCCCCATCATTGGTGTCAGTGGGAGGAATAGTGCCCCATCATTGGTGTCAGTGGGGGGAATAGTGTCCCCCCACTAGGTGTCAGTGGGGGAAAAGTGCCCCATCACTGGTGTCAGTGGGAGTAATAGTGCCCCATCGTTGGTGTCAGTGGGGGAATAGTGCCCCATCGTTGGTGTCAGTGGGAGGAATAGTGCCCCATCACTGGTGTCAGTGGGAGGAATAGTGCCCCATCACTGGTGTCAGTGGGAGGAATAGTGTCCCATCACTGGTGTCAGGGGGAGGAATAGTGCCCCATCACTGGTGTCAGTGGGAGGAAAAGTGTCCCATCACTGGTATCAGTGGGAGGAATAGTGTCCCATCGTTGGTGTCAGTGGGAGGAATAGTGCCCCATCATTGGTGTCAGTGGGGGAATAGTGCCCCATCATTGGTGTCAGTGGGGGAATAGTGCCCCAACATTGGTGTCAGTGGGGGGAGGAATAGTGCCCCAACATTGGTGTCAGTGGGGGGAGGAATAGTGCCCCATCGTTGGTATCATTGGGAGGAATAGTGTACCTCATCGTTGGTATCAGTGGGTGGGAGGAATAGTGCCCCATCGTTGGTGTCAGTGGGAGGAATAGTGTCCCATCGTTGGTGTCAGTGGGGGGAATAGTGCCCCATCGTTGGTGTCAGTGGGGGGGGAATAGTGCCCCATCGTTGGTGTCAGTGGGGGGAAGGAATAGTGCCCCATCGTTGGTGTCAGTGGGGGAGGAATCGTCCCCCATCGTTGGTGTCAGTGGGGGAGGAATCGTGCCTCATCGTTGGTGTCATTTGGGGGAGGAATCGTACCTCATCGTTGGTGACACCAGTGGGGGGATGAATAGTGCCCCATCAGTTGGTGTCAGTGGGGGGAGGAATAGTGCCCCATCATTGGTGTCAGTGGGAGGAATAGTGCCCCATCGTCCGGCCGCTCTGTCAGTCGATATTCGGGGGAGGAATAGTGCCCCATCGTCCACCTGGTCGTCAGTGGGGGAAGAATGTGCCCCCATCGTTCCGGTGTCAGTCACCGGGAGGAATAGTGTGCCCCAGATGACAGGGGCATCCATGTCATCCCGCCGACACCTGGAGACAGATAGAGGAGCGGTGTCTCGGTTCCTAAGACCAACGGAAATATGTGTTTTCCGATGGTCTTAGGCGACCCCTGTGAAAGCGTTGTTCGACCCCCCAAAGGGGTCACGACCCACAGGTTGAGAACCGCTGGTCTAGGTGTACTCTTAAACCTTCCACCATGCAGATCATCAGCGGGGGAGGGAGAAGTCCCACACCAATCCAGGTCATCAGGAACCTTCAAACGTGGGCTCCCATGGAAATGATGAGCCCAGAGAGAACTTCCAATAGTGTAGTAGGTCTTTAATTAACAAAATTCCAGCATATACAGAGTGAAAACAAAACTTACTTCCAGATCTGATATGGCCACCAGGGAGTCAATCAGGATGGCCTTGCGGTATATGTACAAAGGTCAGGGGCACCTCCCTCAGCCTGGGCTCATCCCGGGTCATGTCCCCAGGGGCTGAGGTAGCTTCTTACCTATATCACATATTGGGCTGTTGGGAGTTTGGTGTATTTATACTGCATAAGAAAAACATCAAGCTCACAAAATTCACTATACTATGTGATGTATCCATTTATTGTATTGATTGCCTAGGTGGACCAAAAACCTGGCAAAAGATTGTCATGTGAAGGCTTACACTGGAGACAGGGGGTTAAACTCCAGTTACAAACAAACATCAAACGGGTGCGTTAACTGTGAGAATATGACCCACTGACTTACTGAGACAACAACAGACCAGCTTAAGCTGACTAAAGAGTTCCTTGCTTCAGAATTAATTATCCAGAAGGTCACTGACCCTACAGGAAAATGAAACCTCCCAGCCTGCTCAAAAGGATTAAAAACAAAGCTGTTTTTGAGGCTATATTGTTCTTTTAATTATATATTCAGGGAGGCTGAATTCACAACACTGTAATCATGTAGCCAAGGATAAAATACAATATTACAAAATACATTATACAATAAAATTATAGCTAGAAAATGTATCTCTATATAAAGATAATAAAATAACCAACAGGAAAAATTTATTTTGACTGAAATATTCAATACTCAAAGGTAACAGACTGCTCAGTGACAATCTCTAATAAGACTGCTGAAATGATATATCATACAAAATTATGCATACAGTTAGGTCCATATATATTTGGACACAGGCACAATTTTAGATTTTTTCAGGTATTTACCAAAACATATTCAAGCTATAGTTATATAATGGATATGGGCTGAAAGTGCACACTCTCCGGTTTAATTTGAGGGTATGTACATCCAAATTGGAGGAAGGGTTTAAGAATTACAGCTCTTAAGAGTAGCCCCCCCCCCTTTTTCAAGGGACCAAAAGTAATTGGACAAATGAATATAATCATCAATAAAAAATGTTCATTTTTAATATTTTGTTGAGAATCCTTTACTGGCAATGACTGCCTGAAGTCTGGAACCCATGGATATTACCAAAGACTGGGTTTCTGCCTTTCTGATGCTTTGCCAGGCTCTAACTGCAGCTGTCTTCAGCTGTTCTTTGTTTGTGGGTCTTTCTGCCTTTAGTTTTGCCTTCAGCATGTGAAATCCATGCTCAATTGGGTTGAGTTCAAGTGATTGACTCGGCCATTGCAGAATACTCCACTTCTTTTCCTTCAAAAGCTCCTGGGTTGCTTTTGCAGTGTGTTTTGCATCATTGTCCATCTGCACTGTGAATCAACTTTGCTGCATTTGGCTGAATCTGGGCTGACAGTATATGTCTAAACACTGCAGAATTCATCCAGCTGCTTCTGTCTTCTGTCATATCATGAATAAACACCAATGACCCAGTGCCACTGGAAGCCATACATGCCCATGCCATCACACTACCTCCACAATGTTTTACACATGACGTTGTGTGTGCTTTGGATCATGAGCTGTTCCAAGCCTTCACATTTTTTGTTCCTTTTGTTCTGGTACACATTAATCTTAGTTTCATCCATCCAAAGAATGCTTTTCCAGAACTGTTCTGGCATTTTTAGATGTTTTTTGGCAAAGTCTAATCTGGCATTTCTATTCTTCAGGCTTACGAATGGTTTGCACCTTGTGGTGAACCCTCTGTATTTGCTCTCATGAAGTCTTCCCGATTGTAGACTTTGATAATGATACGCCCACCTCCTGGAGAGTGTCCTTCACTTGTCTGGATGTTGTGAATGGGTTTTTCTTTACCATAGAGAGGATCCTGCGATCATCCACCACTGTTGTATTCTGTGAACATCCATGCCTTTTTATGTTTCTGAGCTCGCCAGTGCGTTCTTCTTTTCTCAGAATGTACCAAACTGTTGATTTGGCCACACCTAATGTTGCTGCTATCTCTCTGATGGATTTGTTTCATTTTTGAAGCTTTACAATGGCCTCTTTCACTTGCATGGACAGCTCCTTTGAACGCATGATGTAGGTTCATAGCAATAGATTCCAAATGCAAATACCACACTTAGAATCAACTCCAGACCTTTTACCTGCTTAACTGATGAAGAAATAACGAAGGAGTAGCCCACACCTGGCCATAAAACAGCTTTTGATTCAATTGTCCAATTACTTTTGGTCCCTTGAAAAAGGGGGGGGGGTGGCTACTCTTAAGAGCTGTAATTCCTAAACCCTTTCTCCAATTTGAATGACGTACCCTCAAATTAAACCTGAGAGTGTGCCCTTTCAGCCCATATCCATTATAGGACTATAGCTTGAATATATTTTGGTAAATACCTGAAAAAAATCTAAAATTGAGCCTGTATCCAAATATATATGGACCTAACTGTATGTATGTATGTATGTATATATGTATGTATGTGTGTGTATATATGTGTGTATATATATATACAAAAACACACACACACACACACACACACATACATACACATAGACATACACACACACGGCTGAGCCCTATTTTCTCAACTATGTCTTCTTCAATCTGCTGACCCCATAAAGCACCTAATTGTTCCAGGAACTGTATGTAGCCAGATGCTTGGCTAGAGACAGAGAGCAATTTAGGACACTGTGCTTCAGTGCTATCTGTATCTCAATGGACTTCAGCTGAATGGCTTAATACTACCTCGCCTCCATCCACCAGAGGGAGCGGACCAGCGGGAAGATCTCAAGAGACTTGATGGTTGGCAGCATTGAATAATGGGGAGATAAAATTCAGGAAATAAACTACAGCTGTCTATGGACTATTAGACTACAATGCCTGATGTGAGCCGGGTATAAGGGGGAGAGAATTATATTTTCTCAGACTGAATACCAAGGAACTTACTTTTTGCTGTAAGGATACCAAAATGTGCACATCAACCTGCCACAAGCCAGCAGACCAGGGTTGCTGCGGCAGACTCAGAAGTGAGCTGACATCAAAACAGTGAGACCCTTGTTGCTGTATCACTGGGACTGGTGAGAGGACACTGCAGCCATTAACCTGTTGCTGCTAGCAGAGACTGAGCACATAGGTACTGGCTATCTAACTAGCAGAATTATTTATTGCATAAACTAAAAATAGGTGTGCTATTTCTTTAAATACAAAATTAATGCTTACAACTATCCAATTACCATAATTGACACGAAAAGTGATTAAGTGAAATCAATGCATGTAGTGAAAACAGTAAATAGTGCAAATCCCACTTATATTGTAAAGTAATTCTTACAGTAAACAAAATGCTAGGGAAAAGGAGCCTCCTTCCCCTGATGATGTCTGCGAAGGGACGAAATGCATTGATAAGATTGTAAGCTCCAAGGAGCAGGGCCCTCGAACCCCTCGTGTATTGAATCGTATTGTTACTGTACTGTCTCATGTACTGTCTCCCATTATAATGTACAGCGCTGAGCGAACTGTTGGCGCTATGTAAATCCTGTACAATAATAATAATAATAAGGGCTTGGTTTGTGATGTCATCAAACCCACCAGTGGACTCACGGTGGTGCTGTTCTTAATGTTTATCAGTCTTTTATCTCCTATGAGTGGTATTTTTAACCACTTGTTCTCTGGAAGATTTACTCCCTTTCATGAGCAGGCCATTTTCTGCTATATGGCGCTGCGCTAGTTTAACTGATAATTGTGTGGTCATGCAACACTGTACACAAATGGAATGGAATTTAGATGACTTTTTTTTGCATAAATAGAGCTTTCTTTTGGTGATATTTGATCATCATTAAGTTTTTTATATTTTGCACTATGAACAAAAGAAGACTGAAAATTAAAAAAAAAAAAAAAAAAACAACCTATATTTTATTACTTTTTGCTATAAAACATATCCCATACAAATATAAAATTTCTTCATAAATTTAGGCCCAAATGTATTCTGCTACATGTCTTTGGTTAAAAAAAACCCAGTAAATGTATATTAATTGGTTTACGTGAAAATCATAGCATCTTCAAATAATGGTATATGTACTGGAATTTTTTTCTTTTTTATACTAGTAATGGTGGCGATAAGAAACTTATTGTGGGGCTGTGATAGTACAACAGGCATTCTGACTCTGGCTACCTGACACTGACATGACTAGTGACACTAATACAGTGATCAGTGCTATTAAAATGCACTGACACTGTACTAATGACACAGTGTAGGAAGTGATTAACATCCGGGGGAATCAAAGGGTTAACTATGTGCCTAACTGTAATATGTGATGTGTGAACTGTGTACTGTTTTACTAGGGGATGTGACAGCTTTTGTTTCCCTGCTTTGCATGCAACTTCAGCTCTCCAAATTCAGATAAGCTGTATAAATTCTGGACTTTGAATGGATGTAGAGGTGAGAGGGCTGCAGGTAATCAAGTACAACTTATGTAGGAGGATTTCTGTCATCTCTTTGTTTCATCTGAGGCTAGTGGTTGTAAACCCTGGGTATATGTAAGGGTTTACAACCACTTTAAGTTTTGAAAAATAGCAACAGGGCCACATTAACACCTTCCTGCCCGGCCTATTGTAATATGATGGCCGGGAGGGATCCCTATTATCCTATCCTATTATCATATGACATCCTCCCAGGATCATGCCTCACGCTGCCGGTACCATGTGAACGCTGTGACCAATCACAGCAGATCACAACAGTTGTAAACAATGAATGGCTTCCTTTCATGTCATTCATTGCTCACAAATGTGTTGCTAGCTGTGATTGGTCACAGTGATCACATTGTACAGACAGGGCCAATCATAGCCTATCTGTATCATGTGATCAGCTGTGGCCAATCATAGCTAATCACAACAATAACAACTGAATTAATCAGTTTCATTCAATAAAAATAGTTGTTTATAAAAGTGAAAAAAAATCCTGATCACTTGCCCAGAGTAGTACAATGTTACTATAGTAATATTGTATTGCTCTGGTCACAGGAGTAAAAAAAAAAAAAAAACATAAAAAAAAATTAAAAAATAAATTAGAATTTGTAATTTTTTTCTTTTTTTTACATTCTGTCACCAGTCAGTGTCCCTAACCACCGCCACACCAATTTTATGATGACACTGTACTGCATTGGTGAAAGTGTGTAAAAAAAAAAAAAAATTGTGAATTTTTTTTTATTTCCTGATTTTCCACAAAATTATGACAAAAAAATGACAACTTCATAATACTCACCATGTCTCTTACTAAAAACCCCAGACTGTCTACTTTCTGAAAAGCGGTCATTTGGGGTGTATTTGTACTGTCCTGGCGTTTTTGGGCCTCAAGAAATTAGATCGGCCATCAATACATCAGGACTGTTCAATTTTCAGATATATACCGTAGTTTGTGGACTCTATAAACTTTACTACCAAATAAATAATAGTTTGGGTTATTTTCACCAAAGACATGTAACAGAACGCATTTTGTTAAATGTTTGAAGAAAGATTGTTTATTTGCAAAATTATATAACAGAAATGAAGAAAAACACGTTTTTCAAATTCACAGGGTTTTTTTTGTTTATAGTGCAAAAAATGTAAAACCCAGTGGTGATTAAATTCCACCAAAAGAGAACTCTATTTGTATGAAAAAAAAAGGATACAAATTTCATATGGGTACAGTTTTGCATGACCATGCAATTGGCATTCAAAGAGCGATGGCGCTGAAAATTGGCCTGGGCAGGAAGGGAGTGCCCAGTATTGAGGTGGCTAAACACCATTTTAAGCATTGTGAACTGAAGCTAATACTTGTAAAATTTGGTGCTTAAAATATTTCATGAAGATAGCATATCTTCTTAAGCATGCGATTTTAACATTTGCATGACACAATAAGGTCCATAACTGTGGACCCTTACTTTGATTCTGTTCAATGTCTAACTATGTTTAGAACACTAATTTCCTTTTTCTAAAATGTAACCTTGAATAATTTAACAAATAATACAGAAATGTGATATTGCATTCTGTAGCGTTTCATTGCAGATGATGTCATGATAAGTGTTATGATAAAGTGAAAAATTACCTTGTACGATAAAACTTCTTGAAAGCGGCCACTGAAAAAAATTTTACAAGAACGTCAATTCCAGATGATTAAAAATTATTGCTATGCAATAATATACTATGACTTCCAGACTTTTCATTGAGCTGGAAGCTGTCACCGTCAGTCATGTCATGGCAAAATATGTGTGCATGCAGACTAGTGCTTCTCAACCTTTTTTCAGTCAGGCACCCTTTAAAATTCTGCACAATCTCAAGGCACCCTTTAAACATCGGCACAATCTCAAGGCACCCAATCTAAAATGTAAAAACCTATTCTACACACATTCAGTACACCCAATATCAGAGGTGATTTTTTCATTCAAAGCAAATACACCTTTGTACATTGGTACTGACTAGTATTCCAGTGTGTCTCTCTCATTTTCTCTCCTTCACTCTGCTAATGTGACCCCAGTGCTGATGGAAAGGGGCAGGTACGGCCAAACAAGGATGATGTGCATGCAACCGACGTCCTCCTTAACAACTGATGATGTCAATGGTTGTTAGGATGCTGGCAGCTAGATCATAAAAGTGCAGAATGAAAACCTGTGGCTTTGTGTGCTAAAAGGCAGCATTGATCCACCTGCTGGCTTCTATACAATTTTTGGGCATTTTGCCAAGGCACCCCTGAAGGAGCCTGAAGGCACCCTGGTTGAGAAAGGCTCATGTAGACCCTTCCAAGAAGGATGTACACAGTTTGCATCTTCTGGGAGAAACATGTCACACAAACTCCTTTCATAGCAACTGTTCATATCAATGTGAACATGTGCTTTCCCAGTGTAAGGCAGAGCAACATATTCACTTACTTGCCTGCCAACCCCTTGCTAGTACTAAACTTCCATTAGCTCCTCTGCCACTCCATTCACCTTCCCTTGCAAAGTGACATACCTGGTACCTCTGAGCATGGGGAACATGTGACTTGTCACATGGAAGCTGGGGAGAGAATCCTTACTTATGCGTAAGCTCTTTACAGATTGACTGAGTTTATACTGGGATTTTTTCTCCTTCACTTTGGCTGGCAAATGGGGAGCAGTAGGAGTAAAGGGAAGTTTATCGGAAAAATTTGGTGACACATCTCTACTGGTACTTTTTCCTCAATTAGATCTAAAGTGTATTTCCACATTTGCAGCCAACTTGGGACAATGCCTACTTTATATTTATTACATGTTCCCATTAACATGGCTTAACTTGAAAAAAAAAAAAAAATTGCTGATTACCTTTTTAAGCACTTTTTACTTTAAATATCCTTAAGCCTGGTAAAAACAGGCTGAATATTGGCCAGTTCAACAGAAACCGGCCGACATTCACCCTTTGTGTACAGCAGCCTGTCTGACAGAAGCCGGCTGTACATTTGGAAGAGCATGCTAGAAAAACATCTGCCGATTGGCATTCGATGAGTGTTTGCAGCCATTGGTCGGTGTGTTCTGGGGATGGGGGTTTAGTCCCCCTGTCACAACACAAGACCTCAGTGGGGAGATCGCTATATTAACCTCTTCAAGTCCAGACACTTTCACCCCCTTCCTGTCCAGGCCAATGTTCAGCTTTCAGCGCTATCACACTTTGAATGCCAATTGCGCGGTCACGCAACACTGTACCCATATGAAATTTTTAGCATTTTTTTGAGACAGATAAAACTTTCTTTTGATGGTATTTATTCACCATTGGGATTTGTATTTTTTTTTGCTATATAAATGAAAAAGACCAAAAATATTTTTTAAAAAAAGTGTTTATCTTATTTTGCAAATAATCTTTCATAAATATTGGCCAAAATGTATTTAGCTATATTTTTGGTTAAAAAAATAACCCAAATTAGTTAATAAAAAAAATTATAATTTTTCAAAATTTGTTTTACATTTGAATTTTTTTTTATATTATTTATTTTTTTTACATACTGTCACCCTAGCAGTACAGTGTCAACATAGTGGCACTGTACTAGTTGTGGGGGTGATGAAGATTTTTTTTTTTTTTTTTTTTACACTGATTGCCTTAACACCCATAAAGGCTGTAAAAGCAATCATTTCTCTTTCTCTCTGGCTGAATTCCTGCAGGCATTGAGAAATACTGTGAGAGCTGTGATTGGTCACAGCTTGTCACATGGTACAAGGCTGTTGTGAATAGCCATGTGACCTCTGTGATCATTCACAGATTTCACAAGTAGTAAACAACGATGTGAGGAAGTGACATCTTGTTTATTACTGTTCATGTGATCACTGATTGGCCAATCACTGATCACATGAATCGGGACCACGGTGATCTGCGATCTGTGCTCCGTTTGTCCAGTGGTGCAGGTCCAGTGGAGTGGTGCTGCGCACTCAGGCAATGGATGCGGGGACACATTTAGAAATGTCCCCCCCATGCATTGGCAATGCTCCTGTCCGGCTGTTTATCATCATGCGGCGGACAGGAAGAGGTTAATATTGCATAGTTAGTACAGCGACCTCCTCGCAAGCTCATCAGTTTTTTTTTTTCCATTCAATCCAGTGTGTACCAGACATTACATGATGTCCCTGCATTGTACGGTTTGAACGGGTGGATGTGGAGTAATGTTTAACATAATTAACCCTGTCTGTACTGTGTTCACAGTTCCTTATTACCAGTTCTAACAAAGGATTCAAAATTTAGAAACCACCTGTCTGCAACTGTATGGTAATGAGGGACAGTGTGTGGACAAAGGCACTTGAGACTGTCCAGAAATTCTCGAAATCAGCTATGCCACTACTACATATATTTTTTTTTTTTTTTTTTTAGGTATGCAAAATAAAAAAAATATAGTGGGGATTTCTCAGATTTGACAGGAAAAGTGGAAATATTTAAACCTGCACAGGTATTTAACTAGGGAATGGGGGCATGAATTTGGTTACAGTTTGGCAGTACAGACATGTTTTGTTGAATGCGCATGTTCATGTATTTAGGCAGGCCATAGACGGTGCAAATTTCTTTCCTGCAACCACAAACAGTGCTGACAGGGGAATCCCTCCAATTGTCTTCTCCTGGGCGCCATCCCTGCTGGGAAAAGACAGTGATTATTGCTAGTGGCTATAGCAGTCGCTAGCGATAATCGCAAGTGAATTTTGCATGCTGGTTGTACCCAAGTTGATGGATCGATCAACTTATTACATTCAGCATGCCCGGTTCCAGGCTGAGATTCAAACTATCTATGGCCAGTCTAAGGCTGTAATAGCTGAAACATGTTGACTTTCACTGGCTGTATCTCCCTGAATATCATCAATAACTGACTAGCGTATTTTTCGCTCCATAAGACGCACTTTTTTCTCCCCAAAAAAAGGGGGAAAATGTCAGTGTGTCTTATGGAGAGAATATGGAGTGGCTGGTCCAGTATTATTTCCGCCGCCACCACCGTGTCAGAATACCGGGCCGGCCGCTCAGCTCTTCTCTGCAGCAGGACCTTTCCTGTTACTCGGTCCAGTGCTGTGCAGTCTTCCCGCGCTGGCATCTTTAGTGTGGGCACCCGGCTGTGACAGCCGGGTGCCCACTGCACATGCGTGAGAAGCGCTGCTCTTTGTGAATGGTCTGGCGTCTTCTGGAACACATGACAGGTCTCAGAAGACACTGGGCTATTCACAAAGCGCAGGGCTTCTCGTGCACAGCGCAGTAGGCACCCGACACAGCCGGGTGCCCACACTAAAGGGAGGACAACTCCGCGGAAGTGGGAGCGGTTACCTGTCAAATTCAGGTACCCGCTCCACTTCCCTCCCCAAAGGTCCGCAGTCTCTTGGTCATCCCTGTACTGTCTGCAGTCTCTGGTCATCCCCTGTACTGTCTGCAGTCTTTTGGTCATCCCTGTACTATGTCCGCAGTCTCTGGTCATCTCCTGTACTGTGTCCGCAGTCTCTGGTCATCTCCTGTACTGTGTCCGCAGTCTCTGGTCATCTGCCGTACTACGTCTGCAGTCTCCGGTCATCTCCCGTACTGTGTCCGCAGTCTCTGGTCATCTCCTGTACTGTGTCCGCAGTCTCTGGTCATCTCCTGTACTGTGTCCGCAGTCTCTGGTCATCTCCTGTACTGTGTCCGCAGTCTCTGGTCATCTCCCGTACTGTGTCCGCAGTCTCTGGTCATCTCCCGTACTGTGCCGCAGTCTCTGGTCATCTCCCTACTACGTCCCGCAGTCTCTGGTCATCTCCCTGTACTGTGTCCGCAGTCTCTGGTCATCTCCCGTACTGTGTCCGCAGTCTCTGGTCATCTCCAGTACTGCGTCCGCAGTCTCTGGTCATCTCCGTACTACGTCCGCAGTCTCTGGTCATCTCCCGTACTGTGTCCGCAGTCTCTGGTCATCTCCCGTACTGTGCCGCAGTCTCTGGTCATCTCCCGTACTGTGTCCGCAGTCTCTGGTCATCTCTGTACTACATCCGCAGTCTCTGGTCATCTCCTGTACTGTGTCCGCAGTCTCTGGTCATCTCCTGTACTGTGTCCGCAGTCTCTGGTCATCTCCTGTACTGTGTCCGCAGTCTCTGGTCATCTACTGTACTATGTCCGCAGTCTCTGGTCATCTCCTGTACTATGTCTGCAGTCTCTGGTCATCTCCCGTACTGTGTCTGCAGTCTCTGGTCATCTCCCGTACTACTACATCCGCAGTCTCTGGTCATCTCCCGTACTGTGTCCGCAGTCTCTGGTCATCTCCTGTACTATGTCCGCAGTCTCTGGTCATCTCCTGTACCGTGTCGCAGTCAGTCTCTGGTCATCTACTGTACTATGTCTGCAGTCTCTGGTCATCTCCTGTACTGTGTCCGCAGTCTCTGGTCATCTCCTGTACTGTGTCCGCAGTCTCTGGTCATCTCCTGTACTGTGTCCGCAGTCTCTGGTCATCTCCTGTACTATGTCCGCAGTCTCTGGTCATCTCCTGTACTGTGTCCGGAGTCTCTGGTCATCTCCTGTACTGTGTCCGCAGTCTCTGGTCATCTCCTGTACTATGTCCGCAGTCTCTGGTCATCTCCTGTACTGTGTCCGCAGTCTCTGGTCATCTCCTGTACTGTGTCCGCAGTCTCTGGTCATCTCCTGTACTGTGTCCGCAGTCTCTGGTCATCTACTGTACTATGTCCGCAGTCTCTGGTCATCTACTGTACTATGTCTGCAGTCTCTGGTCATCTCCCGTACTGTGTCTGCAGTCTCTGGTCATCTCCTGTACTGTGTCCGCAGTCTCTGGTCATCTCCTGTACTATGTCCGCAGTCTCTGGTCATCTCCTGTACTGTGTCCGCAGTCTCTGGTCATCTCCTGTACTATGTCCGCAGTCTCTGGTCATCTCCTGTACTATGTCTGCAGTCTCTGGTCATTCCTGTACTGTGTCCCGCAGTCTCTGGTCATCTCCTGTACTGTGTCCGCAGTCTCTGGTCATCTCCTGTACTATGTCCGCAGTCTCTGGTCATCTCCTGTACTATGTCCGCAGTCTCTGGCATCTCCTGTACTATGTCCGCAGTCTCTGGTCATTTCTGTACTATGTCCGCAGTCTCTGGTCATTTCCTGTACTGTCTGCAGTCCATTGGTTCAGAATATTTTTTTTCTTGTTTTTCTCCTCTAAAACCTAGGAGCATCTTATGGTCAGGTGCGTCTTATGGAGCGAAAAATACAGTAATTTGCTTATCCATACTGCTGTGCTGGCTTTCCCAGAAAACTATACGTTTTGTTGAATATCTGAAACACACTGTTTTGAATCTGGTTCTGAATGTAGAAAAATATGGGAAAAAACATTTTTGCTACACTGAAGCAAATCTGGTACATTAGAACACTCTATAGCCCTGCGAGAAAGAAAACTTATTTGTCAAGTATAGGTTAAAAAGAGAAAACAAGACACATATCATTACCTGCGTGGAAAGGTTGTCTTCACTGTGTTTTGGATAAATCCGTAGCAGCAAGGGCAGATGACAAAGGCTGCTCTGGCAGCAATGCAGTGTTCAATCACCATATCTGTCGCTACTCCACATGCATGCAGTGCTACCTACACAGAATATGGACATCGTTAGCGTACATAGAAATCGCAGGGACATGTTTTGGCAATGTTAAGATTCGAGGTCTGTCTTTTAATGAACATTTTCACATGTGCTTTGAAGGCAATTCAAATGCATTTTAAACTTAAACCCAAGCTGTGGTGGCTGTGTTAGTTTTATTTTCGTTAGGTCAAGTACATTTTTTGCAGGTACAGAGGAATACCTATTGATCCTGTCATTTCCTGTGGGCTGAACCTGAAATCTCAAACATCATCCTTACCAGTTATCTTGTATAAACTTCAAAAACACCTCCTACCAGTGCACTGAAGATGAGGCAGGGGGTGGTGTTTGTAGTCCAAATCAGGATAGCAGCCTGAGGTGACAAGGCTGCTCCTTCATATATGCAGAACAGTACGTGAGCGTTTTTCAACCTAAGACTGAAAGTGTGTTGCTGACAGGATTGCCAGGGTAACATTAAAATTAAAAAAAAGGCTGGAAAAAGAAAACTACTCCAGTTATCACATATAAGGAATGGTAAGCTGCAAAATGTTATATTCTTCAGTTTTGTTTAGATACCTTTGAAAACGATCTTCAGTCTTAAAAAAAACAAAACAAAAAAAAAGAAAACAAATTCAGCAGCTACACATACTTAGGATAAAAGAACACTACCAGTCTTCGGGTCCCTGGAACTGGCATGTTTACCATGGGAAATTGGCTGAGGCTCCTTGCAGCTTCACAGCTGGCTTACCACTACGCATGCGCAAACCGCGCTGTATATATGGTCCAGCAGCCTCCTGGGACTTTTGACATGTTGCAGGAGGTTGCGGGTGGGGGGAGAGGGGAAACTTTTGCTCTGATCACCTAGGTGGTTGGAGTGGAAGTTGGAGCACATACCTTGTAAAACTAGGTACCTGCTCCCCCCAAAAAAAATTAACCTCCAAAAGTGGGACAGGAAAGAGGTGAAGTCCCGCTTTCTGACTCAGTGTGCTAGTTTTGTAAAGCATAAGTTCACCTTTCATAAGATGTTACATGTTACACCCGTATTCAGGGGTGCAAAATTTTAACATGTTACTAAATGAGCATCCCCCCCCACACGCCCCACCGAGCACCTGTTGTGACAGCGGGTGGGGATCTTCTACCTCCATGTGAAAATAAAGGAGGGTTTTTGGGAAGCTCAGAAGCTAAGGAACAGGTTAGATAGATGATGACTCAAAGACAAATGAGTGAAAAGCAACATTAAGGATACTTTGGCCTTGTAACAGTCTGATTGGCCAATCAGTGATCACATGAATAGTAGTAAGCAAGATGTCACTTCCTGACATCATTGCTTACTGCTTGTGAAATCTGTGAATGATCACAGAGGTCACATGGTACAAGGCTATTCACAACAGCCTTGTACCATGTGACAAGCTGTGACTAATCACAGATATCACAGTATTTCTCAATGGCTGCAAGAATGCAGCCAGAGAGGAGGAGAAATGACTGCTTTTACAGCCTTTATGGGTGTAAAAGCAATCACTGTAAAAAAAAAAATCTTCATCACCCCCCTCAAGTAGTACAGTGTCACTATGGTGACACTGTACTGCTATAGGGTGACAGTATGTTTAAAAAAAAACCCCAAATAATAATATAAAAAAATTAAATAAAAATGTAAAAAAAAATGTTTTAATTATAATTTGTGGTTATAAACTAATTTGGGTTATTTTTTTTTTTACTAAAAAGATAGCTGAATACATTTTGGCCAAGATTTGTTAAGAAAGATTATTTATTTGCAAAATTTTATAAGAAAAACATTTTTTTTTTAAATTTTTGGACTTTTTCATTTATATAGCAAAAAAAAAAAAAAAATGCCAGTGGTGAATAAATACCACCAAAAGAAAGTTTTATCTGTCTCAAAAATATGCTAAAAAATTCATATGGGTACAGTATTGCATGACCGCGCAATTGTCATTCAAAATGTAATAGCACTGAAAGCTGAAAATTGGCCTGGACAGGAAGGGGGTGAAAGTGTCCGGACATGAAGTGGTTAAAAAAACAGAGCAGCTATATGGGGCTCTGCCCACACAGCAGTGCCATTCATTCACAAAAATCTGTTAATGAATGAACTACCAGACCCATCTGCCACTGAGGCAGACAGCATGTAATTCTCAATGAACTCTGAAGGCACTGACGAGTGCTCTCGTAGTTCATTGACTCTTCCTGCAATTTTATAATTGTCTGCCCATATTGGAGGTATGGGCTGAAAGTCTGCAGGAGCCTGACATTGCACCCACCATCTGCTTATCGTGGGTGCAATGCGTTAAAGGCTGCAGTGTAAAAAATAATAAATGCACATTTTTACCTGCAAAATCATGAGTTTTTTTTAAACAAAAAGTGAACTTAACCTTTAAGGGCTAATAAGACATCCTACACAGGTATGTTAACAGAAAAAAGCAATGGCTGATTACCTTCCAAAAACTAAGAATTTATACAGTATGAAGTCCTATAGTATAACTGCTAGAAAACAGTTACTTATGGTAATATGGGAGTTTCTCTTTAAAGGTACCATGGTTCACAAGGTTCTGTTGTAGGACTACTTTTGAAAAACAACTCAAAGAAAAGTGATATACATTTTTTGGTGCCCATACGCACATGGAATTTGAATAGCAGTTTAATACGTAACCTGTAAGTAAAACTTAGACAGAATGCACTTTCAAAGAATGTAAAGCATCCTATTTAAGATAAAGACTGAAATATCTGTGGCCTCCCACCAGCAGAATGAGAGTCATTGACCAATGTACAGTTAAGGAGAGCAGTAATCTGCTCTTCTACTATGTATATAGATATTACCATCTGACCCTTGTGTTTCTGAAGCTTTTAGTAGATGAGGAGGACATGAGAAGATGAAAGACAAAAAGCAGACCATATACTGGTGATACAGTTCATTCTGAAACTGTGTGGGGGGAATATGCATACAGAAATGTTGAATATATTTTTGTTTGTGTTCACATGTAATTTCCTAGTTATCTTTTGCAGAGATGAAAATCATCTGTTTAGTAACATGGTTATATTTTAAGAAGTCTTTTTTTTTTTTTATCTTTCACATTAGAATAAACTAAGTAAACCAAACAAATTATAAATGTGTTCTCTTTTTGTATATTTGTTGGGTTCATGAATGTATCCAATAATGAAATTATCAATGATGCAT